TATCTAGGTAAATATTAAAGCATTAAAGTTTTAAATATGTGTGTTTGAAATCTCTGTATCTTTCTCAGATGTGAAAATAAAAGTAACTTACTAGTGTGATGTTTGTGATTACCACCTTGGTTTTAACAGATGCCTGGTGAAACTATAATCACATAGCTGCTTTATCTCCCCAGTGACAAACAGTATACAATTATGGTATCAAAGACAATAGTTACTGGGGAGTCCAAATACAGCACATCCCTGACACTGTGTAAATTATATCTGTCCACCCAGAATCCACAGTGGTCCCTTATAATACAGTTCCTGCAATATCTGTTTATGTACCTTAGAAAAAATTTTCATTACTCTGAAAAGCATCAGGCTTTGTAAACTCAGATTGACAAATCTTATCAAAAGCAGTTTGTTGTATAGAAACTTGAAAACTTTGATCAATATTTCACACAATGGGGTCCAAATGGAAGATTGATCTTAGAAGACAGGGACTACTACTCTTAGTCTTCACAGACTGCTAATTCTACAAAGAAAAATAGATTGACTAAGAAAGGTCGTCCTTGCTTTATCATGTTAAGGGCACCTTGATGGTAGAGACTGCCAGGATTTTTAAGTATATGTGAGAAAAGAATCTCACCCAAAGCACCATACTCTAGGGTGAAACCTGATGAACCTCGGAGGTGTTCTCAGAAGACAAATTGAAATATAGAATTCAACGCTTTTGTCAGGTTCAAGAATAGGAGCTTCCTTAGATGATTCAGATAATTCATCAACACTTTTAGAGCCACAGTGGAACATTGCTCCTTTAATGGTTATTTCATTTTTCCTAGGAATTATCCTGTAATTGTAACCCCCCAAACATGTTTAATATAAAACAACAATTCTAAGAACAGAGCCACAATAATTCAGCATTTTATAATATTTGAATTATTGCCATTACATTTTTATGAATTATAGGTAAAAAAAAAAAAAACTATTTGGGCCAGCGCCGCAGCTCACTAGGCTAATCCTCCACCTGCAGTGCCGCCACCCCGGGTTCTAGTCCCTGTTGGGGCACCAGATTCTGTCCTGGTTGCTCCTCTTCCAGGCCAGCTCTCTGGTGTGGCCCGGGAAGGCAGTGGATGATGGCCCAAGTGCTTGGGCCCTGCATCCCATGGGAGACCAGGAGGAAGCACCTGGCTCCTGGCTTCGGATCGGCGCAGCGTGCTGGCCGTAGCGGCCATTTGAGGGGTGAACCAACGGAAGAAAGACCTTTCTCTCTGTGTCTCTCTCCCTCTCTCACTGTCTAATTCTACCTGTCAAAAAAATAAAAATAAGTAAATAAATAAAAAATTTAAAAAAAAACCTATTCAACAGTTAGTCTGTTTGGATATACCATGTCAATGACAGATATTTTTGAAACTGATTTTGTTTTCTCTTAGAATGCCTTCTAAGCATTAAATGATTCAACTTGATTGAAACCTCAAATTGTGCAATTTTCTGTACATGTACAACAAAATAACCAATCACACAGGTAATCCTACATCAGTGAAGAGACAATTCATAAACTCCTAAAAGTGTGCAGACATTATTTTCTACTGCACACAAGCTTCATAGAAAGGCTCCACAAAGATGCACTCTTAAAGGCCAAACAACAACCACCATTACCTTTAACAAAAACAAAATTGTTTTTTAATTACAGCAAAGACTTTGTTACAGTTTGAATGATGAGTTGCATATGGCAAATGTCGACATGTCACGTTTTCGCTCAGGAGTTTTTACAACTTCTCTTGCACTGCTCTGGTTCCTTAGGTGAAGTAAGTCATCTCACAGGATTATAACCAGAACGGTGTCTGCAGCATTCCCCTTTCCCATCTTCTACCCAAGATACATATTTTACCATTTTAAAATGTTTTTAATATTTTATTCTTTTTTATTTTATTTTTAATTGTCACGTAATAGTTACATGTATTTATGATCTATAGTGCAATATTTCCATTCATGCATACATTTTGTAATGACCAAAACAGGGTAATTAGCATATCCATTTCTGGAAACTTTTATAATTGATTTTTTAGTGAAAACATTCAAGATTTTCTCCTGTAGCTATTTTGAAATACTTAATGCCTTATTGTTAACATACTGAGCCTGCTGTGCAAACAATATATCTTACTTCTAACAGACTGTGTACCCATTGCCCATCTTCTCCGTATTCCCCCATCTTCCTTATCCTCTCCAGCCTCCAACAATCACTGCTGTACTCTAATTGTTGGACATCAACTTTTTAGATTCTATATGTGAGAGTCATGCCACATTCATTTTTTTTTGTCTGGCTTGTTTTATTTAACATAATGTCTCCCCAAGGTCCATCCATATTATTACAAATGACAGGATTTCATTCTTTTTTTGTGGATGAATAGTATTCCATTGTGAGTGTGTGTGTGTGTGTGTGTGTGTAGCATATTTATCCATTCATCATTGATGACCCTTGGCTGGTTCTATGTCTTATCTTTGGGAATAGGCTGCAGTGAAGATATCTCTTCAACATACTGATTTCATTTCTTTGGGAGATATACCATTAGTGGGATTATTAGATTGTAAGGTGGTTCTATTTTTTTTAACTTTTATTTAATGAATATAAATTTCCAAAGTACAGCTTATGGATTACAATGGCTTCCCCCCCATAACGTCCCTCCCACCCGCAACCCTCCCTTTCCCACTCCCTCTCCCCTTCCATACACATCAAGATTCATTTTCGATTCTCTTTATATACAGAAGATCAGTTTAGCATACATTAAGTAAAAATTTCAACAGTTTGCTCCCACATGGAAACATAAAGTGAAAAATACTGTTTGAGTACTAGTTATAGCATTAAATCTCAATGTACAGCACACTAAGGACAAAGATCCTACATGAGGAGTAAGTGCACAGTGACTCCTGTTGTCGACTTAACAAATTGACACTCTTCTATATGGTCTCAGTAATCACCCTAGGCTCTTGTCATGAGCTACCAAGGCTATGGAAGCCCCCTGAGTTCACTGACTCTGATCATATTTAGACAAGGCCATGGTCATAGTGGAAGTCTCTCCTCCCTTCAGAGAAAGGTACCTCCTTCTTTGATGACCCATTCTTTCCACTGGGATCTCACTCGTGGAGATCTTTCATTTAGGTTTTTTTTTTTTTTTTTTTTTTTTTTTTTTTTTTTCCCCAGAGTGTCTTGGCTTTCCTTGCCTGAAATACTCTCATGGGCTTTTCAGCCAGATCCGCATGCCTTAAGGGCTGATTCTGAGGCCAGAGTGCTGTTAGGACATCTGCCATTCTATGGGTCTGCTGTGTATCTCACTTCCCATGTTGGATCACTCTCCCCTTTATTTATTCTATCGGTTAGTGTTAGCAGGTACTAGACTTGTTTATGTGCTCCCTTTGACTCTTAGTCCTTTCATTATGATCAATTGTGGACTGAAATTGATCACTTGAATAGTGAGATGGCATTGGTACATGCCACCTTGATGGGATTGAATTGGAATCCCCTGGTATGTTTCTAACTCTACCATTTGAGGTAAGTCAGCTTGAGCATTTTAAAAAAGGTGGTTCTATTTTTGATTTTTTGTAGGAACCTCCATACTGTTTTCTGTAACAGCTGTACTAATTAACGTTCTCACCAATGATGGTTAAGGTTTCCTTCTCCACATCCTCACCAACACTTACCTCTTGTGTTTTTTCATAGCAACCATTCTAACTAAAGTGAGTTGATATCTCCTTGTGGCTCTGATTTGTTTGCGTTTCCTCGATGATTAACAATGTTGAACATTATCCACATACCCGATGATCACTTGTGTATCTTCCTTTGGGAAGTGTCTGTTCAGATTTTGTGCCAATTTTTACTCAGATTATTTCTGTTCTTTTGCTAATGAGTTCCTTTTGCTAATGAGTTCATCTGTAATTTGAATATTAACCCCTTATCAGTTGTGTAGTTTGCAAATATTTTCTGGCATTCTGTAGGCTGTCTTTGCATTCTGTTGATTATTTATTTGGCTGTACAGAAGCTTTTTCATTTGATGCAATCCCTTTTGTTTATTTTGACCTTTGTTACCCACGTTTTAGAGGTCTTACCCAAAAAAGTCCCTTGTTCATATTAATTTCATAAGTGTTTATCTATTTTTTTCTAATAATTTCATAACTTGGGATTCACATTTAAGTCTTTAATACATTTTATGTTGATTTTGTATATGGTGAGAGATGAGGTCTAGCTTCATTTTTCTGCATGTAAACATCTGAATTTATCAGCACTATTTTTTGAAATTTTTTTGTTCTTTCCTCTTATGTTCTTGGCATCTTTGTCAAAACCTCAGTTGGCCTTAAATGGGTGGATTTGTTTCTGAACTCTGTTCTGTTCAGTTGGCCCATGCTAATATTGTGCTAGCTTTGTAATATATTTTGAAATCAGGTAGTGTGATGCCTCTAGATTTTTTCTTTTTGCCCAGATTGCGGTGGCATTTCGGGGACTTTGGTGATTTTTTATGAATTTTAAGGACCATTTTTTCCTATTTTTGTGAAGAATGCCATTGTAGATCACTACAGATAGCATGAACTAATTGAGTTTATTCAATGCCATGGTAAGTAATTAATTTTTCAGAGATTTAGATAGATGGGAACCAGATGTTATAGCACTATCAGAGTCTGTAAGATAAATTTTAAATTAAAAAAAAAAAACTCATTTGTTAAAAAGTAAGATTTATGTCCCAGAAACTAGACAACTTTATTTTGGCTGGTGTAATAAATGATGTAGAATTGCTCTTTCTATTTTACTCTTTGGAAAGTATTTTACTATTTCTGTGTGCAAATAAAAAGATTCTTGAAATGAAGTTATCAAGTCTGTGTTTCTAATGAATATCTTTTTATTTCTTTGAATCAAAAGGGAATTAATCATTGTAAACTTCATAAATTCAAATTAATGCAAATTGAAAACAAAATCATCCACTGTCAACCTCATTACTCCACTTCTGAGGCTTTGTTGTTCCTTCTCTTAGAATGGACTCAATGCTCTCCATCTGGCTGCCAAGGAAGGCCATGTGGGACTGGTTCAGGAGTTGCTGGGAAGAGGGTCCTCTGTGGATTCTGCCACGAAGGTAATATTCTTGTTGGTAGAATTTATCTTCCTTAGAAAACAGGAAATGGTTTAGAGCTCATTTTCCCAGTTGTGCATTTCAAAAGTTTACTGGAACACCAAGATTCTTAACAGCACAGAATTGAAATCCTTTCCACTAAACTTTATAGAGTTTGAATTGCTTCATTTAGGAACTTATCAATCACGATGCTCAAGAAATCAATACACCTATTTTCTAGCATATTGTCTTTTCTCCTTTGTTTCACAGAGGGTTCTAGGTTAACACAATACTTTGTAGACAATAGCACCTGTTTCTTAAAGATTAATTTTTAAAAAATTGTTTGGTAAACATCTCAATGGAAATGAAAAAGTTATGTTCCTGCTTCAGTTAAATTGATAAATCTTTTAGTGTATTTACTCATTTTTGTTGAGAACATAAGACTTTATTTTCTAGTGGAAAAGAGGTTTTTAGTTGTGAGTTGGAATTCTAGGGCAAAGTTAGATTGCATCACTATTATATGTATTTGTAAAAAAAAGGCCTCATTTTTAAAGAAATGTACAAGATATACTTGATATACTTGATATACTAGAAACTATTGCTCACTTGTTGATGCTTCTTCTGGTTCTGAATCTGTTGGGGATTCATCTCAACAACAGAAAAATTTGAAAATTCTGTTAATGATGACAAATCTTTATCTTTTGAAGGTGAAATTTTGTTAGGAAAAAACACAGTAGCCAATCAGCTTGCTGATGAGGCCTGGGGTGTGGAATATGACTTGGGAGATGCAGACGTGGGAAATCAGACATTCCAGCTTTGGGCTGGGGGCATTAGTCTAATCAGGAGTGGACACAAAGAGTTTGGAAATAAACTAGAAATATGACCAGTTAGCCCAGATTTATAATACCTCATACAAAACTACCAAAATGTTCACTGGTGCTGCTTATACTAAAATATACCAGAGAGCAATATCAGCAGAAATTAAAAAACAACAACAACAACAACAAAAAACTCTTCAGCAATTCCAAGGAATTTAAAATATAAATTCAGTTTATGCAATAAATTTCTTATTTTGGACATAAAGAGAGAAAGCATTTTTATTGATCTTTCTTTGAGCACATCAAATAAATGTTGAACAAATATTTAAAGAATAGTTTGAATGTAGATCAGTTTATTTGTTTACACTGCATTTCACAAAACCTAACACTTTTTGTTTGCTTATGTGTTTATTATTATTTTTGTTTCTCCTTTTTTTAAACTCTTGCTATTTTAAAATGGATTTGCTTTTAATCATAGATCATTGTTGTAGAACTTTCTAAAAAAAAAACTCACTTAAAAAGAAGGAAACAGTCCTCTAAATACAAATTGAATGGTTAATGATCCCACAGAGATCTGGTAATAGAAAGGGAAATGGCATGGAATCTAAAGATTTTTTGCTCTTATGTTATTTATTTTAATGATACCACAGCTAGTCTTTAAGTTTTTAGCCTATATTTTATTTTCCTGATAGGTTAAAATTGTTTTCACTGGTGATTGGTGATGTGTACGATAAAATTTGATGTAATGAATGGAAGAAATCATTGGTAATTTATGATTCATGTAAAATTTGATTTTTTTGTTCACTCCCAAAATATTATGAGCATCAATCATGCACCCTAGTGTGTGGAAACACAATTGTAAGCAAAATCATTTTCTTTACCCCTAAAAATCCATTGGTTTCTTGCAAGGTGAAATAAGCTCAATGTTTCAGTAAACATTATTCTTAAGTTAGTATTTCCTTGTGGCGGGATTTTTTGTTGTTGTTGATGAAATACCAAGTCTCCCATGAAATATTATCATATATACACAATCACAAGCATCACTGATTTTATTTTTGTTCACAAAGAATTTCGTCATTCTAGGCTCTTTTCACTGCATAAGTATTGTGAATGATAAAAAAAAGACATTATATGAAATGGTCAGATTTGTTATGGTGAAAAATAGCTTCCGCAATGTGCACTGCAATCTTAATATAATGACAGATTTTAACTAGTTGAAGTAACCAGCAAAGTTGAAAATGCCAACATGTTTTGATTTTTGCAAAATTTGGAAATGTTTAATGGTTCCTCTTTCTCCCAAACAGAAGGGAAACACTGCTCTTCACATCGCATCTTTGGCTGGACAAGCAGAAGTTGTGAAGGTTCTTGTTAAGGAAGGAGCCAATATTAATGCACAGTCTCAGGTATTCCATTCAGATTATCTAATGTAAATACATATAAATTAGAATAGTTTGTGAAGTTAATGTAATGGGTTTAGCTAGCTGTTAGGCAGATAAGTTTATTATAAATGCTCCTTCACTTATTTTAGACAAGTATTTTATGAGCTTATGAGATGAAATTTCTTATTTTTGACATATTATAATCTCCCCTTTAATATAACTGAACACTTAATAAATGTAAGTCTATGATTGTGTTTATATAGTTCAAAAAATAATACAAAGTGATTTTTTCATTATGACAGCAACATCTGTGAAATATGAATTATTCATACTAGTTTCATCTTGTTCTATAAAAATATTTTCTCTCCTTAAATTTAGAAAATTTTCAAATGATTAACATTCCAGTGAGAAATCTACTTTAAGGTGGGAATCATACTATTTTGGTTAACTCGCACTACAAATATGGGCTTTACTAAAATGCTTAGGGAGACAGGAAAATTTAACCTCCACAGGCTAATGTTGCACACAATAATAACCAGTATACATATGGACTTAAAATGAAATTAACAAAAATTTTAAACAATTATTTCATCAAATTATACTATAAACTTGACCCTGAACTTTTTAATATGGAAAGTTGAAGAAAATATTGTTTTGCTCAACACTTTTCTCTTGATATCTGTTTTGTATGTAGGAGTTGAGCTGTCTTTATAATAAAATCCATTTCTTTTAGTTTTTGTTAATGTTTTTCTTTAGCCTTTCTGCTAACACAGATCACATAAGTGGGGATATTGACAAAATAAACCAACTCCTTTCTGTTCTTTGGGATAACTTTGCCAGTTTGCCTTTGAAGGTCATTGTGTAGAAAAATGTATTAGCTGTGTTGTTCATTCATTCCCCACATACGCATAGCTCTGGCTATACAGAGGATACAATTTCTAGACCCAAAAATTATTTAAGGCATAGGTTAGAAATTATGTTGAAATTATGATGGATTAGGTACTATCTGCTTTTATCTCTATAAATCATATTATTTTAATTAGTCACATTTCCTTCCTTACAACCCAAATTTTAGTTTAATAAGCATCAGTGTTTTAGAATATGTTGAAATATGCCTTAAGCTAAAAGCTTTATTAAATGGAATTCTAAAAACTTTCTTCCATCTTCTACTCTGAAATAAGTGGAAAACTTTTGTTTATAGCAGGAGAACATCTTTTCGCTTTAGTGCAGAGGTTCTTAGCCCTTAGCCTGCAGCATGATCATCTGCAGGGATTGTTGAAATATATTTTGGGGCCCATTGAGTTTCTGGTTCAGTTTTGGTGTAGAACCTGAGAATTTCCATTTTTATAAATCCTTAGGTGATTATCAGCTGAGATACCTCATCTGTTGATGCAGAACTACTGCGTTAGAGAATGTGAGAGAAAGCTTGAGTGTGAGATGTTGTAGTAAGAGTCACTGAGTGTTGAGGCAGGTATCATGCTGCCACTTGTCACATCCCTATCCCATTTTAGAGTGCATACAATTGAATATTACCTGTGCTTTTGACCCAGCTTCCAGCTAATGTGCACCATGAGAGTCAGCAAATTATGACTCTGGTACTTCGGTACCTTTCACTCCTACGGGGCACCTATATAGAGTTCCTGACTCATAGCTTTGGCCTGGCCCAGCCCCAACTGTTGCAAGCATTTTGGGGGTGAACCAGTGGATAAAAGATCCTTTGCTCTCCTTTATCTCTTTCTCTGTCTCTCCCCTTCTAACCCTCCCTCTCCCCCTTACTCTGACTTTCAAATAAATAAAAATATTAAAAAGAAAAGATTTGCTAAATGTAGTTTCAACTCCATGTTTAAATCAACGGTATACTTATAAGGCTGGCACTGTGGCATAGTGACTAAAAGCTGCCACCTACAGTGCCAGCATCCCATATGGGCCTGGGAAAGAAACAGAAGATGGCCCAAGTCCTTGGGCCCCTGCAACTATGTGGGAGATCCAGAGGAGGCTCCAGGCTCCTGGCTTCAGATTGGCTCAGCTCTGGCCCTTGTAGCCATCTGGGGAATAAACCAGCGAATGGAAGATCTGTCTCTCTCTGTGTCTCTGCTTCTGCCTCTCTGTAACTCTGCCTTTCCAATAAATAAATCTTTAAAAAAAAGTCAATTGCTCCTAGAAGGGTCTCTCTACTTTGACAGGAAATCCACCTATATTGGTGCTGTTTATACCTAAGAGTATAGCTCCTTTTCTCAAAATGATTAACAAAATAGTGATGTCATAAGAGTTGACAGGTGACAAATACTGCAAAGTAAATGTGTGTTAAAATATATGTTATCAGTTATTTCACAATGGTTATTGGAAATTTAAATGCTTTGGAGAGTTTCAAGAATAAGCTAAAACCATTTAATCAGTGGTTTGTTTTCATTCAGAGTCAAAAAGTCATTTCTCTTGGTCATAATCATGCCAGATTCTAATAGATTTTTTTTTAAGATTTATTTATTTATTTGAAAGTCAGAGTTACACAGAGAGAGGAGAGGCAGAAAGAGAGAGAAGTCTTCCATCTGCTGGTTCACTCCTCAATTGGCTGCAACTGCTGGAGCTCTGCCGATCCAAAGCCAGGAGCCAGGAGCCTCTTCTAGGTCTCCCACATGGGTTCAGGGACCCAAGCAGTTGGGCCATCTTCCACTGCTTTCCCAGGCCATAGCATAGAGCTGGATCAGAAGTGGAGCAGCCGGGATGCAAACTGGCACCCAGGTGGGATGCCGGCACTGCAGGCAACGGCTTTTACCTGCTACACCAGAGCGCCAGCCCCTGTAACAGATCTTAAAAGTTAAGGTTTAGAGTTTAGAACAGTCCTTACTTGTGCTGTTTAATATTTGCCCAATTTAAGATTTACATTGTAGGGATCCTGACAAATAGTTTCAAACTGATTTTTACTGTGATTATATTATAGGGTGAAATGAACTAATAATCAAATTTTAGTATATTTTTCTAAATACATAAGTCATTTGATAAGACCTATGATATTATTTGATATATTGAATTTATGTAGCCATCATAACAAATTAACAAAAATATTTTTACTTAGAATATATTATGATTCAGTGATTAAAATTAAAATAGAGGAGTTTGTTTATACAGGTTGATTTTTTTGCATCTGAATATAAACAGACCCCTGAAGATATCGTTTTAGTGACACTGAGGAATAATTTGAGTCCTATCTCATATTGATACCCCCCAGCTCTGTCTTATATAAAGTATTGATTTCTTTATGTGATAATACTGGGTGTCAGATTGATGAGTGGAAGACATGTTTACAGCAATTGGACTGTCATTTATTTTGGAAACCAGAAAAAGAATGTAGGAATCCTAATTGTATAACATAAATTCTGATTTTGTACTCAAATATACCTCCTTCTGCATATTTCTAAGAATATCATTCAAGGCACTAAAATCAGGGTAGTCTGAAATTATAAGAACATTGGCAGTTGCATAGTACTTTGCCTTTGAGGAATTTGGAAATGGGCCACTAAAGTTATTTTTGATTTAAGTAAGAAACTTTCCAAAAAGCTCCAAGGAATAAATGTTCAATAAAGATTTTGTAGTCCTTATGTTATGGAGAAGTACACATTATTGATTTTTCTGCATTCTTTACATAAACTATGAGAGCCATGTGAGGCTTATCTCCACATGACATGAGCCCAAATTTGGTCAGCGATGTCCTTAATTCGTGAGGAGTTCAGAACACCAGCAGGATCAATTCAAATATTTTAAATGGAATTATGTATTGTTATAATAATCATGAAAAATGTGGTTTTCAGTAATGCCCCTGACCATGTAGCTCTCTGACTTGGTCCTTTGGACTCTTGGATTCAGCGGCATGGAGGTCTCATCAGGACCACAGTGGAAACTGTTTTGGTTGAATGATGGGGCCAGAAGTCAAATTTGGGTAACTAAACAAATGTTACTTGCTCCAAGAATGGTTGCTTGCTTTCTAAAAACAGGCTCTTGTGGAAAATCTTGACTAGGTACCTTAACATCTTTAAACAGTTCGGCCTGAGTGATGTAGGAATGATGTCCATCTGTTATGAGGCATTTGTTTGATTACTTTTATAACACACAAATCTAATTGACTCAGAGAAATGACTTTTAAAAATTGTTCCAATTTCATGTTGTTATTAATGAAATAATACCATGAAAGTATTTTAAAGTATTCTTTGAGTCATGAGTTCCTTTAACTATTTGTAGCACTTCCTCTTGATTTTTTTGTCTGTTCACATTTGCCCATCTCAGGTTTATTGTTTAATGTATGTAGTTTCTTCAGAGTTGGATATTTGAGTGCAGATAATATTTTCCTCATTTTTTTGTTGTTTTAGGATTTTGCCCACTACATTGCTCATATATGATTGGAATCCAAACATACATGTCCTCTTCATGTATAAGTATTCATTTTGTTGCATATTCCAATCATTCCCAACAGTAGACATTAATATTACTAATAATACAAGTGATAATGGTGACTACTTGGCACTGTCTCTAGTGCATTGTATACATTATTGATTTATTAATAACAAATTAAAACTCAGATGGTTTATTTACTTCATTCTCAGGTAGCATTGCTTCTTATAGTTCCCATAACAGTTATACTTTCTCTACAGACATCAAAGAATAATTTTTAGAATTTATTTTTGTTCTAACTTATACTCTATTCAGGTCCAAATAAGTTGATTCTCTTGAGTGAATGCATACAAAAGGTTTTAGGTGGAAATTTTTCACTCAGTATTATTTATGAACTGTAAACATTATGGATCTGAAAAGAAAGATTTTGCTACTACTACTGAGAAAATCTGGCATTAATATTTCCCCTGTTTAAATTTCTCTACAAAAATATGACTTTTAATTCCCACAGGAGAATATTTTTATTTGGGTCTTTATTATATTCTTTAAATACAGATTCATTAAATGAGAGTGACCTCTACGGTAAAGCAAAGTTACATTAAAATTCCTATTTTTTTTTTTGTTTGTTTTCACAAAGCAAA